AAAAATCATTATCATGTACAATCCAAATCTACCTTCCAGTTTGAAACTGTTGCCCCTTGTCCTGTCACTACAGACCTTGGTAGGAAGTCTCCTTCCATCTTTCTCAAAAGTTCCCTTTAAATACTAAAAAGATGCCATATGCTCTTTCTGGAGTGTTCTCCAGGCTGAACAGATCCAACTTTCTCAGCCTGTTTTCATAGGAGAGGTGTTCCACTCCTGTGACCATCGTTGTGGCCTCCTCTGGACCCACTCTAACATATATTCCTGTGCTGGGGCCCCAGAGCTAGATGCAGTGCTCCAGGTAGGCTTGCACTGGAATGAGGAGAGTGGCAGAATCCCCTCCCTTGCCCTGCTGACCATGCTGTTTTTGCTGCAGCTGACTTTCTGGATTGCAAATGCACATTGCTGACTCATTTTTCCATCCTCCAGTACCCCCAAATTCTCCTTGGTGGGGCCTCTCTCAAGCATGACAGCGCCCAGCCTGTATTGATACAGGGCAATTCTCAGAATGATGGGATTCTCATCTGGAGGGGAATTTAAGTCAGACCCATAAATCCAAAGGCCATTCAAAAAGCTATCTATATTTTTGACACATATTGTAATGTATATGAGTATTTCTCATCAGCCTTGAAACTTCAGAACTCCATAATCGGTCCTGCTTGTAGGCTGTTAAGTCAGTTTGACTCAAACCAAGTTGTCTTCATGCAAGAAGAGAGTGGCTGCAGTTTTTATCATGTGGAAATGTCTTATCTGAGTATAGGGAAACTCACACCATGCTCTGACTTAGTGTCCACACCCATCTCTGAAGTAACTTCTGTGGAGCAATGATGCAGATCATGTGTGGTTAACATGCACATGGGTTGGCTGACACCAGCCTGGAAGAGGCTCCATGTGGAACCTGGAAGGGTGAGAAATGAGTTTGAAACAATAAAAGCTGCAATGAACATTAGGCCATCACCAAATCTCCTCAAAACCTTTTAAGACATTACATCTAAGTCCATAACTTCTCTTCCCAATGATATCTATCTTGCTCCTCCGCACTTTTGAGGTGAGAATCAAGTTACATGAATTCCCTTGACATGCAGTATATTTTACCACAGCTATGGCATCTTTCCTGGACCAGTGCAAGATGTTTCTGTTTCTCAGAACTGTTTGTTAGAGGAAATTATCTATGGATTTCAGTTCTAGCTGAAGCGCTGGGCTACTGTGCTGCATAGTGGATCATGTTATCTGTGTAGAGCAACTGGACTTGACTTTGTACCCAGCATGGGTACCATGGCTCTTTCCTGACCCCTGGCTCTGGCCCATCTTTCCACTCCCTCTCCACTGTTTCTGTGCTGTTTACACAGCGAGCTCTATGTGCCTGGGATTATCTTTCACATTGCTTATGTATGGGATCAAAGTCTCTGAGGTAACCTGTAGGCTTTTCTAGAGTGCAAAACAACTCGGCTGGACTTAATTTACACTAAACACAGAACATTGGAGGTGAACTTGGTATTGTATGCTGGATTTATTTCACTGCTGGCCACTTCAGGCACCTCAGAGCTGGCCAATTTATCAGTTTTCTCTCCAATGAATGTGGTTAGAAGCCCAAAGAGGCATTGCTGCACAGATGTGAAGTGGCTGTGTAATAGGAAGCACCAAACCTGTGGGTGTCATGCTGAAGACAGCCTACCAGGTGATGCTGCATTGGGCTGTAGGACCATCTCTCTTTTACCTGACCTGTGACAATTGTTCAAAATCAAAATCTGGCTGCAGTGGCTGTGCCATGCTTATTTGCTCCTTAATTAGAGGCCTACGGAGAGGAGATCCTTGGTTAAAGGAAGACATTGAGCAGAAAGGATTCCTGAGTGAAGAACTATATTTAAGCTATCTCAGTTTGGGCTAAACTGCTAAGAAGTGTTTTAAGTTACTGACAGAGTCATTCTTCACAGCTGTCAGCCTTATCCATACACTGGAAGGATCATTAATATGACTAAAATGGAGCATCTGTCACTCTTGTGCTAACATGGAGCATACTTACCATAAATTCTATTTAAAGGGAGCTGGGTGGTGAGTGTTTAGTGTTTACTTCAGAGAATGGTAAAGTTGTACTGCATTTAATTTTTGTCACTGTTGCAAGCTTTTCCAAAATGTTCTGTATCATACATTTGTAATGAGAAAGTAACATGCATTTTCTTGCTATTCAGTGTCAGGATGAAGCAAAGGAGTGCCAAAATAATGAAAGCTAGGGAGATAAGCAAGTATCTACCACATTTTAATTGCAAAGTTAATAAAATCAGGTTGGTACAACTCAAAATCTCTTGCTGTTACACTCAAAAGCAATGTGAAAATCTGGACAGGTAAAAAAAACAAAATCAAATAACTTGAAGTGTGTATTCAAGAAGCTATTTTATAAGCATTTAAATTTAAACTGTTTAGTTGAATAATGCACTGCTCTGAAACTGCATATTGGTGGAAAATTGTCTGAAGAACATCTAAGCATTCTCTCTAGCCATAATGATTATATAAAACTCAGCTGATTTTATCAGGTTTTAGTTTATGACTTTTCCAGTCCCACAGTGATGTTTCTCTAGTCCTTTTTTATAATGTCATGGCTTATTTCCGAGTCTCACAGATATTGCAGTGGTTTGGGGTTTCTTATTTTGTTTTGTTTTTTGCATCATTTAAATTTTTCTTGTGACCTTCAAGGTAGAGAAAAGATTAATATTTTTGTTTTGAAATTGCCGGAACCACTTTATCCTGGAGTCTGCTCCAAGTTCTGCTAAGATTTCTACTTGACATTTAGATTTAAATTTTTATGCTTTCACACTATTTTTTCTCACTAACTCTAGATTATATTTATTTCCTGAATACATATTGGTTTTTTGTGTGGTAACTTACAAAACTCTTAAGTAATTACCCCTACATTACCCTGGTGGGTTTTGTATCAAAACATGTTGTTAGTATTTAAGTAAATGAAGATAACATGGCCCAAAGTCCTGAACCTAGCACTGTGGAAAATGAGCCTGAAATAATTAATCCAAACACTGGAGATGGAATTACAAAACTCAAAGGAAAGTGGCTTAATTCTGGAAACATATTTTCAGAACTCCTCTTGCTTTGAGCTGGAATAGATGTGTCCTGTAAAAAATAAGTCCCCTTTCATAATTTTAAAGAGGACTTTAGGGTGTTCTAGCTTGATAGAGACTTATTCCAGAGCATTCTTAAGTGAACACATAACCATGCATACACAATGAGGAACTGGGATGAAAGTCTCTTCCTGGCACATTTTATTCCCAGCTGTCTATGGTATTTCCTCATTCTGATTTTCTTTATGAGAGGAATAGTAAGAAGGATCTAAACTATGTAAGAAGCAAACAAAAGCTTATTCCAGGGCTATGGCTTTAATTTTTAAACAACCAACCCTGGCTCCCTGTTTTGCACCTCCGTGTTTGTGCCATAACTTACACAATGAATGAGAGACTGGGAAATGTTTCCCTTAGCTCAGTTCAAGCTCTAATTTTAGCCAAAATAATATAAACCCCCAAACTGTTTCATGATGGAGTTGGACTAGAGCTTCAGTAAGTACCAAGCATAGACAGGGGATGGGGGAATTGAAATGTCTTAAATGACAGTTTCAAAGAAATCTACTTTTTTACTAAAGTCTGATATTAAGTTTTGGTGCTATCTGATGATTGTTTAGCACATCTTAATTGTAATTATGCTGTGATCCTTCATATTCACAGTTGATGTTACTTTTAAAACTGCTTAAGAATAAAAATAAGCCAAAGAACATGGGCTTAGCAGCTTTTCTCTATCATTTGGCAAACTTTGCTCTTAAGGTTGGGGACATACCTGCTGACACCTTGATTTCTGAATTAGTGCTCCAGTGTCATAATTCTTTTCATGATTTTATGAATTCCTCAGACTTTCCAAACATTATTTATATGATCAAATTCACATAATAAATTTTGTTTGGGCTTGGGATGCACAAAAGTGGATTTAAATGTGATAGATAAAGAAGGAAAAAATAACATTTCAATTTGTTTTTCTAAGAAGAGCAGATTTTCTAAATATTTTAAAAATCCAAGTCCTTCTACTGTTCTCTTTTTAACCTCCCTGGTATTTCAAATCTTTGCTTTGAAACAATATGAATTACCAGAGTGGTAACGAAACAGTCTTATAAAAAGGGACTAAAAAGTTAAGTGATTCGGGGAAGAGTTTTTTAGCCCATCTTGCAGTACATTACCCTAATCATTTGGTGACAATAAGGCAGTCACCTTAAAAAGGAAGTGATCCGATTACACCAGCCAAATGAAATGTTTTCATATTTTTGGAAGAAATGCCACATTTCGTAATGAAGCATTAGGAAGGGAACAAAAACCATTTTTTACTAATGACAAATGTTGAAGAGGAAAATGGCTAAATTCTGAAAGTGCTGGTTTTTAAGGAATAAATACTTATTAGAGGGAAAAGGTTCTAGAAGAAAGAACTTGCTTGTCTCTTATGATGACTGACAGCTGTGAAAGGGCACCAAGCTGCTCTGTGAAACAGAGGTATCAATCCACCTCTAGACAAGCCAGGTCAGGTACCAGAAACAGTGTCAGAGCTTAAAATCATTCTACCAGTGCTGATATAGTGTCTCAAGTTAACCAATAGGGGTTGACTAAGTTAATGTGGGTTAATCAGGCAGCTCTTGTAGCTGTCTTGCAAAGTCTGTTTATCAATACATATATGGTAACAAGTTAACAGGTGTCTTCTAACATGGCATCTAGGATCTGTAGCTCCCACCAGTCTGGGCTTCACTAGTGCTGTGGGATGTGGTAACATTGTGCATGTCCCATATTCCTTAGGCTGCACTGGGCTATGTTGTCAAAAAAAAAAAAAATATAAAATCTCTACTATTCATTAAGTCATCTAAATTCATTACATTACAGTCAGTCCATATAGAAACCTAAAATGTTGAGAAAGTACTTTTGCAGAGCACAGCTGTGTAACTCTTCTCCCAGGCATCTATGTCTCAGTGAACCATGATTTATTAGGGTTAAATATTTCAGAGTGTTACATTCACCATTTATCAAATGAAGGGACAGATGCATAATCTTAAAAGCAACAACTGACATTTCACATATGTAACTTCAAACAATGACAGCTAATTAATGATAACTCATTTAAGCTACAGAGTAAAATTGATTTCGGCTTTTACATCATACTTTCCTACAAAACAGATTTATTTTCCCCCAAATGTGTAATGAGAGTGGGCTCTTCAGCTGGATGAGTCTTCAGATTGGGTCCTCAACATCTTTATCCGTTTTTCCAGTCTCTCCATCCATTCATTTCTGAGCCTAGGGACAGAAACATGGATCAGCTTTTCCCCATAATTTTACATGGAATGGATTTATACTCTTCATCTTTTCCACTGATGGTGTTCTTTGGTATTTTCTCCCAATTGTCATGCAAATTTTCCTTCCCCTTCAGAGCTCTTTGCTTCCGGACAAGCTTCAGGTGCTTCAGATACTTCAGGACAAGCTCTTATATCCCAGTGAGGGATCACCTGGAGCTTTGTGGTTCATCTCCACCTCCAGTGTGCCCTCTCTCGAGTGCCTGTGCAGTGATTTGTTACCTGCGCTGGAGATTGCCTGCTGCCATCTGCTGGGTCACATCACCCAGCTCTTCCCCAGCCTCCCTCCCTGGCTCACATCACCCAGC